AGGCTCCAGCGGCGGCACGCGCGGCACCAGGCGCAGCTGCGGGCCCTGGAACAGCTGGCGCAGCAGCTGCGCGGGGAGAGCCTGCTGGCGCGGGCGCGCCGGGGCCTGCTGCGCGGGGTGAGTGCGGAGGCTGGCGCACAGCGCGTGTTTCCCTTTAAACTAGAGGCCGGTGTTTAAAAATCAGAACGTTTCCCCCATGTTTCCAAATTTCTGGGAAAAAATCAATCTGGCAGTGCCAAGCAGCTGTTGGTTGCAGCTGATTAGTGACTGCTCCATTTACTAAAAATAATATTTAAGGAGCCCTTAGTTTCTGCTAGACACAGTTAATAACTATTGAAAACTCACTATGACCTTGATACTGTGTTGTCCCCATTTTCCAGATAAAAAAACGGAGGCACAGAATAGTCGAGTAACTTGCCCACAGTCAGGCAGCCAGTAAATTGCAGAGCCAGGGTTCAGACCCAGGCGGCTGGCTCCAGAGCAGGCCTGTGCTCGCCTCTGGAGAGCTCCCTGCCTGGCCCCTAGGGAGCTTGAGTTTGCACCTCCTGTGCTAAGGTCTCCTGGGCCTTTCTAAGGCCCTACTGGCCCCCCATATTTTACTGCTGAGTCTTTTCTTGGGTAGACAAGGGTATCCTGTCTTGAAAAATCAAAGTTTGACAAGGCCTTTTCCCTGCTTAAAACCCCAGGGCCAAGCTAGAGGTCCCCAGGCTCTCAGCCCAGGGATGAGACTAGAGGTGGGAGGGGTTTTCAGAAAGGATCCCCCACCAATCCCTCTGTAGCTGAAGTGTCTCAGTCTGACAGCCAGTGGGTTGGACATGGCCCACGGATAAGATGTTTTTGGCCTCAACAACATCTTAAAATAATTTCTGGTCTTTCCTGAAGGCAGATCAGCAGATCCAGCAGCACTGGGTTCATATTCCCAGACAGTAGCAGTCAGCTGGGGCTGCAGTGTGGCTGGCCCTGGAGGCTTTATGTTTGAGACCATGGCCTGAACCACGCTGGGGCACCAGAGGGACATACTGTGGGGCATGACAGAGCTCAGACTCAGGCCTGGGGCTCTTACGGAGTCTTCCAGGGCCCCTTGGCTGATGGTGTCTCTCTCTCTGCCTCCCCTGCCCCCATTCGATCTCTGTCGCTCCATCTCTTCCTCTCCCCACATTCATCTTTCTGCCCCCCATCTCTCTGTCTTCCCCTCTGTCTCCCCATTTCCTCATGTCTCTCTTTATCTGCATCTTTCTGTGTCCCCCCATCTGTGGCCCTGTCTCTCTGCCTCTGCATTTCTCCTGTCCCCCTTATCTGTCTCTCCATGTCTCTGTCCCCCCACGTCTCTCTCCCTCTCTCCCCATACCTCTTTATTCCCCTGTGAATGTCTCTCTGGTTCCCACATCTGCTCCCCTGTCTCCCCATATCTCTCTCTGCCCACATCTCTTTCTGTTTCCTGATACCCCATCCCACCTCGGCCTCCTATTACTCCCCATTTCTCCCTCCTCCCCTTTTCCTTCCCTCTCCTCACTCCCCTTTTCCTTCCCTCTCCTCACTCCCCTGTGTCCTCCGTCTCTACCATGTCTTTGCCTGGGACGGCCCAGCTCCCTGGACCTGAGGAATCCCAAGCCTTCACCATCATCTGTGGAGGGCCTGACATAGCGGTGGTCCTTGCCCAAGGCCCTGCAACTCCCACACTGGACGCCAAGCCTGAGCTCCTGGACACTCAGACCCCCAGCGCATAAGGACCAAGACAGATGATGTCACGGGACAGATGAGAGAAGACAGAGGAAGAGAGACTCATCACACGTGGGCTGGGCCCACCCCAACCCCCACCACCCATGCCTGTGGCACAGCAGCGCCTCCCTCAGGGCCTGGCTCCCACCACTCCCTCCTGGGGACCCCTTGAACCTTAGGGCCAATCTGGGCCTAAGACCCCCGTCAGCCCCGAGTCCCTTGAGTACCAGGTCCCTGCCACCCCCAGCTTGGATCTTTGCAGTCAGTAAAACAGCCTCAGAGCAGGACAGGCGTTGGTTGTTTGGGGAGAGTTGTACGTGCTTCTGAAGAGCCCCTCATACCCCTTGCCAAGCCTGGTGCCGAGCTGGGGTACTGCAGTGAACCCAGCTGACCAGATCCTGCCCTCGTGGTGCTCACATTCTGCTTGAGTGGAAGATGAACTAGTAAACTAATAAATAGGATAATCTGAGATGGTGATAAGTGCTCTGAAGACTGAATGAAGATGTAATGGGGTGGGAGCGGGGGGGTGGGGGTGGGGAGAGGAGGATTCCCTAAGGAGACAGTGTTGGAGCAGAGACCTGGATGAAAAGGAGCTGGCCTGGAAGGCATGTGGGCTGGATGTTCCAGAGAGAAAAACAGCCCCTGCAAATGCCCAATATCTAGGTGTCAGCTGGAGGAGGGCAGCGTTGCTATGGAGAAAACTAAAGCAGGGAAGGAGTGAGTGTGTGTGTATCGGGGGCGGGGGGTATATGCAATTTTAGATAAAGAGAGCAGAGAAGGTCTCATTGAAAAGGCATCAATAAGTAAAAGCCCACAAGAGGGGAGAGAGGGAACCAGGTATCTGGGGGAGGAGCATTCCAGGCAGAAGGAAGAGCCAGTGCAAAGGTCCTGGGGTGAGGAGGAGCAGGGAGGCCAGTATGATGGGGGGAGAGTGAGAGGAGGTGAGATTGGAGAGATGATGGGCAAGTTCACATAGGGTCTTGTAGGCTGTAGTTGAGATCGTTGGCTTTTACCTGGAGTGAGGTGCAGCAAGCAGATACCTCTGAGTTGAGGAGGGTCCTGGTGTGATAGGTATTAATAGGTCCCTGTGGCTGCATATGGGGAGCAGACTGGGGGAGAGGGGAAGGAGCAGCAGGAAGAAGAGGAAGGAGGCTGCTGCCATAATCCAGGTGGGAGAGGATGAAGGAAGGACCAGGATAAGGGCCTGGGGTGGGGGGTGAGGGATGAAATTCTGGAAATAATTTAGAGATGGAGCTACTGGGTCTGCCCATTAAAAGGATGAGGGGTGGAAGGCAAGGTCACCCAGCCCTGTTCAGGCCACAGCCAGCCAGGTGTGATAGCCAAGCCAGGATGATGGAGCCAGGAAGGCCTGGGCCCTGGGCTGGCTCCAGGAGGCGATTCTGGGGGAGATACAGGTTCCCAGAGGGGTGGGGGGGGGTGTCCATTGGCAGATCTAACCCCTAGACACTACTACAGCCACATAGCATGGTGATTAAAAGCCCAGACTTTACAGCCAGGCCGCTTGGATCCAAGTCTTTGCACCATCACCTACTTGTTGTGTGCCCTTGGGCAAGTAGCCTAACCTCTCTGGCCTGGTAAGCGCTGTGTGATGATAATAACGATGACAACATGATTATAAGTCTCTAGGAAATTCTCCGTCTGAGACATCCCTTACATAGGGCGAGCATGGAGAAGGGGTCAGGTCTGAGATCTCAGTGAGAGAAAACACCCCTGACCACCACACACGGAGACCCGTGCCCTAACTGGCCTGGTTTGCAGGCCTGCCGGAAGGCTCTATCACAGGGGGGTGGACGAAGAGAACCGCACCCGCTTTCTCATCCCTCTCTTTTTGCCATTGTCCCTGTTTCATCTCTCTCCTTCTGTCTCCATGTTTCACATCCTCCGTGGCCATCTCTTCTTCCTCTCCCCATGCTCCGTGTCTATCCCCTTTCCCGTGGTTGCCTCCAGCCTTTTCATCAATGCGAGCCTCCCGGTATCTCCGCCCCCGCGCCTGGTTGGGGTAAGAAGGCGCATGCGCTGTCAGCGCCCCTCCCTCTCCACCCCCATCCACCGTCGGCGTCTGGGCCTCGTCCCCATCTCTCTGTCTCCCTCTCTTTCCCCGTCACTTCCCCCGATACTGACACCCATTACTCCGGTCTCCTCCGTCTCAGCTTTGGTCTCCAGCCTTCTTTGGCCCGAGGTAAGATGGGTAGAGGGGAGGCACGGAAAAGGGGAGGGGCGAAGCATCCTGCATCCCGAGATAAACAAACCCGGGGAGGGGGCGTCCTAGACTGAGGGGCCTGACGCGGGAAGAGAAGAATGGGGGGCTGGGCCTGGGGGCAGTGGTAGGCACTGCGCCCACATACCGGGGTCCTCTGATGGGTAACGGGCGTCCCTATGATTGCCCAAAATCCAGAGCTGAGGGCGTGGGGCCCTGGGAGCTTCTAGGGGTTCAGATCCTGGAGCCTGTGGGGCGCACTCTCTAGCTGACCTCTGCCTCCAGGATTTGCCTGAAGGCCGCCCCCAACTCTGCATCCGCCCCCCGAGGGCCACCGAGGACCATGACTAAGACAGATCCCGCTCCGATGGCCCCGCCACCCAGGGGGGAGGAGGAAGAAGAGGAGGAAGAGGATGAGCCCGTCCCCGAGGCCCCCAGCCCCACCCAGGAGCGCCGGCAGAAGCCTGTTGTGCACCCCTCGGCACCTGCCCCCCTCCCCAAGGACTACGGTAACCACCCTCCCCACCCTGGAATCTGGCCTGGAGCCTTGGATGGCCAGGGAGGTTGGGCTGAGCTCTGCTGGTGGTGATGGTGGGATGGTCGGGGTATCTGAAGGTGGTCCCTAGGAGTCTTGGCTGCTGATCCCTTGGATTCCGCACCCCCCTTCTTTAATTCATTCATTCAGTCATTGGAGAATGGAATTGGAATAATCCTAATCTTTGATTTATGATGCATCATTCAATCATTTAGTCATTCAGCAAACATTTGTTGAAAGCCCCTATGGACCTGGCTCTGTGCTAGGAGCTGGGGGAAGAGCACAGAGCAGACCCAGTCTTTGCCGTGAGGAAACTCACAGACCTCAATAAGGACCACACACATAAGTATAAAAATATAGTATAAGTATATAATTACAAGACCTGATGAGAATTGTGCTTGTCAAGAGCAGGATGCTCAAGAGCTCTTTAAGACATGGTTTCTCTGAGGAGGTTACATTTGAGGGAGACCTAAGGAGGAGTTGGTTAACCAGGGAAGGGTTGGGGGAAAGGGGTCCCAGGAGGGGTAACCACAGAAATAAAGGCTCTGAGGTAGGAGGCTGTGGGGCTGAGAGGGTGGCCTCTTGGAAAAACAGAAAGTGTCTAATCATTCACCAAGCAGTATTTATCCATTACTACTACTCTGGGACAAGCTTTATGCTGGGTGATAGAGATTTAACGGTGAGCAGTCCAGGATGATCCCTACTGTCAGAAGAGAAAGAGAGACTCAGTAAGTGAACAGATAAATAAATCCACTCAGTTCAGATTGGAGTGAGTGCTATGAAAGAAATAGGAGATGGAGATATAATAGAAAATGGCTAGAGGGCAGCAACTTGAGACAGAGTGGTCAGGGTGGCATTTCCGGTGGGGTGGCATTTAGGCTGAGACCCAGAGCATGAGGAGGAATCAGCCATAGGAGAGCTGGAGAAAGAGAGTTCCAGGCAGAGAGCAGCAAGTGCAAAGGCCCTGAGGCAGGACTGAGCTTGGCAGAGAAAGAAGCTCATGCAGCTGCAGTTAGGCAGTGACTGGAATTGAGGTGAGGGGTTGCCAATGGCTAGATCTGGAAGGGCCTTAAAGGCCACAGTGAGGACTTTGGATATACTCTAAGTGTGGTGGGGGAGAGCAGTTAAGGGGGGCGTTTAAAAGCAGAGGAGTGGTGGTCTGATTTATATTTTTAGAAGCTCCCTCTGGCTACTGGGTAGAGAGGGTGGGGCTGAGCTGGAGTTGGATATAGGAGGGGCTTTTAGAAGACATTGGCTGGGAATCCCCAGCAGCTGTGAGGTTCAGAAACTAGGTGCCAGGTTGAGAGAGTAGGTATTGCCAGGATAGGGCAGGAGGGATGGCATCTGGGGATGTCACCCACTAGAGGTGGGTCAGAGGCTGCAAGCTGAGCTCAGTCTGATAGAAAAATAAGAAAGCTATCTGGGTGTCTGGGGCAGGGGGTCCCCCCCAGGGAACTGGAAAATCTCCTTGGGAAATGCGGCTGGAGCCTGTGGCCAGGTGGGCAGTCAGAGGGTCTGCCCCGGCCCGGAACAAGCAGGATTGGTCACAGAAAGTGAAGGAATCTGGAAATGTGGTCGAGGACAGAGAGTGGGCTAAGGCAGATTCCAAGAGGAAGTCACGTATTTGCTTATTGAATTTGTACATGAATTCAGCCGAGCTGGACTGAGCACCTGCTGCAGGCCTGGCCCTGGGCCGGGCCCTGGGGATAAGGGAGAGAACAAGACAGCATGCGAACAGGGCCTGCAGCCTAGTGAGGGAGACAGGTGAGGAAGGGAGCGAGAGGGAAAAGCGGGAGGGAGGAAGGAGTAAACACATTAAGAAGTGCTGTGCGCTGTGATTAAAGAAATAGCAAGGGCAGGAGATGAGCAGCACGGAGGTGGTGATGTAGACAGGGCAATCTGGGGAGGCCTCTCTGAAGAGGTGACGTTCGAGCAGATACCTGCGAAGGCTTGAGAAGATCAGAGGGAAGCCTGTCGCAGGCAAGAACAGCAAGTGCAAAGTCCTGAGACAGGAATTTGCCTGGTGCGTTGGAAGGACAGAAGGAGGCCACTGTGGCTAGAGGGGAATGAGGGGGGAGGGCAGACAACAGACGAGGCCAGTTTGTGCAGGGCCTGTGGGCTGTGGGGCGGACTGTGGTCTGTGCTCTGAGTGTGACGGGAGCCAGGGCAGGGTTCTGAGCCAGGGAGGGCAGTGATGTGACTGGGCTTTTAAAAGGCGCACCCAGGCTGATTCCTGGAGACACCTCCTGTGTGCTCTTCCCAGGGCTCTGGATCATCCGCTCATTCATTTACTCATTCATTCACCACGCACTGAGCTCCTGCCACGTGCCAGGCCCTGTGTGGCTGCTGACGTCACTACAGCACGGGTCTAATGGGGGCAGAGGGAAGTTCGTCTGGGCACCTCCCCGGCTGGCCACAGGGTAGATCTGCCTGTGGATTTTATGTGGATTGCACAATCTTTGAAAAATTTTGGAGATTTTTCTTAAAAACTAGGATTTCTGGCTTTTTAATTTTTTTACTCTAGATTTGGCCAAAGCGTGCCCATACTCTGCCAGGGCAACAGTGGCTAGTGCAGGAGCACCCCCTTGGACATGCAGACTTGGGGGTGCCGCACTCCCTACCACACTCCTGTTTCAAAGGGTGGGGTTTGCTGCTCTATGGGAATTGCCTGATCTTCCAATTTTTCATGACACGCTGGACATCCAGATTTTTACGTGAAAACTCCTGA